TTTTAATTTAAAAATTCACTGTTTTTTAAATCACATCTTATGTACACACCTCCTTCTGTCTAGAAGACTTTGTTCCTCTCTTGTTCACTGATCCTCAAAGTTCTGGTTAGATTTTTTCCTCTTGCTTGGCTTCCCCAGTTTAAAGGGACCTCTTTTCTCCGAGCTCTGTTGCCAAGCCTGTCCTTTGGCATAAACTAGAGCTTCAAGAAAGGGCAGTTCAGCCAGACTTGACATCTGTTGTGTCTTTATTAATAGATGACTGTGTAATTCATCATCCATACTGATTCATTTCTGGGGGTGAAAGGATTTGTTATTGACGATGATCCTAGAAATCAGCAAGATCCAGGAGAGTTTCAAGGCAAACTACACCATTCAGTCACCTATAGATAAGTGCTGCAACACTTCCTGCAAAACATAGCAAGAGGGAAGAGACTGTTTAGCAGAGCTGCAGCTCTATTGCCCAGTGTTTGGCTATGCAAAGGAATTGCAGCTTCTTTATTTTCTTACCATAGATCTTTCCCAGGCACGTCCTACCCAGCTGGAGAATCAAGGGGAGAAATGATATTTTTTTCAGCCGGGTGACTTAAAAAGTGTCTGAGATCATTCAGACACTGTATGGCTGAGTAGAGAGAGAAGCAGTCAGAGTTCTGAGTCCACCCCCTCCTCAGCCCCCTATTCACCCTTGAGACCCTTAAAATGGTACCTGGTCACTGGGTGGCGTGCACAGTGGGGAGATAAGGAAGTGGAGGTGAAGATGGGATCTGTACTCACAGCTTCCTCTGAAAGTAGCTGCTCAGCACTGCTGCTTCACCTGAGTTTTGTAGTACTGTTCTGTCATCCCTAACAGGTACGGGGTGGTCCTCTGTACAGGGGATGCTGCTGTGGGAGGGGCCGAAATCCTGTCAGTGTGTTGCCAGCCAAGCCTCGAGCCCTGGGACTTCGTGCATGAGTCAGAACAGCATGTCTTTTCCTATTTGTGCAAAGGCATCCCATGCACTGGTACAGGCCCTGGCCAGAATCACGTTCCAGGCTATTTGCTGCTGGCTTTTCATTCCTTGCCTGTAGCAGCCTGTTGATCCTGATCATGGAGCAGAGCTCTTTTGGCATCTTCCCGCCCCCACACCAGGTCCCTGGGAAATTCTGAGTACTGTATATGCCATGTGTAGGCCTTAGAAGGCTGGGGCACCGTGCTCAGGCTCCTCCCTCACAGTCCTGGTATTTGCTGGCCATCGTACAGGTCCAAGGAGACCTGACGCCACACCAAGGCCAGGTCTCCAAGGGAGTGGCAGACTTCCCCAGGCTTGCCCTGGGATGGAAACCCCTTATCTTGACATTACCACACTTCCCCCATCATTTTCTAGAACATTCTAAATTTCCTCCCCTCCCTAGAGGCACCTGAGTGTCCCTTATGAGTGGCCTTAAGGACCGTCTTCTTTGTCTTGTAGGGTGTGTGAGCATGTTTAGGGCATTCCTGCGAATGACGCAACTCGTTCTAGATGGGCACTTTTCCCACCTTTTCATAGGGTCGCACACGTAGAAAAATGAGTGTGTGGCTGGCCTGGGGCTCTGGAGCCCCAGGGGGGGCTGGGCCAGGAGATTGATGGGTTCCCCGGCTGCCCAGATGCTGCCAGGCCACTCTGAGGGCAGGGGAGACAAGTTCCCAGAGGGTGTTGAGTGGCTTTGCTCGGGAAGCCCTCCTGAAAGCTTTCCACCTGACTTGGCAGGCAAGCACAGAATAGGTCACCGAGAAAAACCTTTTCCCTCTAGAAAGCCTCAATGCCGAGGCCCTTGTCCCTCCGCAGAGGTCAAGGACGGCAGCTGGGCAGCTCTCATGCGGATCAATGGCCTCTTTATGCTCTGCTGGCTCTCCCTCCCCGGGACAGTAAGCCTCCTGGCTCGGCCCTAGAGCTGGGAGGTGACAAGGAAGTAGTTTAAAGTGGAAAGCTGGGCATACAGGCATAGCTCTGGTGACAAGGGTTCCCCACACACTGTACCGATGAAACCCCTCCTGGGGGCGGAGGCGGCGTCCAAGTCAGCAGCACACTTGAGCACCCGCACACGTTGGCTAAATGCCTTCCGAGGGCCAGGTTCCCCTACCTCCAGGGCTTTTGCTTTGCTGAGTAGTTTATGCAAATGCGGGGTGAGAGGAGTGGCTCTGGGCTGGAAGGGGACAGGTCATTGGCCCTCCCTCCAGCAGCTCTGGAAGGCTCCCGGTGCCCCTCCCCAGTCAATACTGATCTCCAGATTAATTTGGCCTGTTCTTGACCTTCATAGAAATACAATACAGCCTGTACGCTCTGTGCAGCATTGTGTCTGCTGTGCGGGCGCCTGGTGCTGTGGGGAGCAGCGTGTGTTCTTGTTCCTTGTCGCCTATTGTTCTGTTGTCACCAAGGGCCCTGGTTTTGCTTGGCCCCCTCCATTTCATCTGAAGCGTTGGCTGGAGTTACCACACACAGAAAAGCTGCTCTGAGCGCCCCTATTTGGGCATCATTCCTCTTTCTTATTATGTGGGGCTTTTTCTTAGCATTCTTGTTAAAATAATTATTGTTTCTGAGAAAAGTAATAGGTATATTCATTTCAAAAATGGAACATCCAAAAGCAGAAAGTTTTTAAAAAGTCATCATCCATGTGTGTTCAGTTGTGTACCTGATTTTTTCACTGAAAACATCATCAACATGTTTTCATCACAGGTCATAGAAAAGTCTCATCTGTTTTTGTTCTGTTTTATTTTGTTTCATTTTTGCAATACTGGCAGTTGAACTTGGGGTCTTTGCACTGAGCTACATTGATAACCATTTTTTATTTTGAGACAGGGTCTCACTAAGTTGCTTAATTGCCCAGGCTGGGCTCAAACTGCAATCCTCCTGCCTCAGCCTCCAAAGTGCTGGGATTACAGGCATGTTCCACTGTGCCCAGCCTCACGGTTTATTTTATTCCTTTTGGCCTTGTTCCTTGTACAGGCTGTCAGCTGGCATTTGGGATGACACGGAGGTTTTACCCAGGAGAGGCCTGGAGACAGCTGGCTCCCTTCCCCATCCACCACAGCCCCCAACAGATGCCAGCCATCTGATGTGAGAGAGCCCTGGGTCGGAGGGCAGATGGCTCCTTCCATTGCCGGCTGAACTATCACAAATGGACCTAACAAGGTGGAAGGACAGGCTGCAAATTGAGAAGTGCAGCGGCGAAATTGGAAAACAGAGATGGAAAGGGGAAGTGAGCAGTGAGTTTAGAAAGCAGTGTCACTGTAGCCGCTGAAGTGTCTTGGGCAGCGCACCGCGCGTGAAGACTGCTCCAGCGTGCCAGTTCAACCAGATCAACAGCTGTAGTATCCCAAACGCGAAAACTGCAGGAGACAGAATCCAACGGCTTCCCTTTTCATCCTGTTGTTTTCCAATATTGGCAGGCTTTTCTTACTCTCTTGTTCATGCTCACGTTTACTGATAACGTATGATCATAAAACCAGGTATCATGCTGGGTGCGGTGATGCAAGCCTGGAATCCCAGCACTTGGAGGTTAACGCAGGATGATTACAGTGAGTTCAAGGCCAGCCTGGGCTACATACTGAGTTCACGGCCAGCCTGAGCTATACAGTACGATTCTGCCTCAATCCTCCTCCCCACAAAAAACTAAGTATCAAAGTACATTCTATCCTCCTGTTTCCACAGCTGTAAAAATGGAGTCAAGGATAATACCCATCCCTAAGAGTAGAGTTTCTCCACCTGAACACTAGTGGCAGTTATGGCTGGGTAGTTCTTTGCTTGTCCTGGACATCGTACAATGTTTAGTAGCATTCTTGACCTCTACTCCCTAAATGTTAGAGCACCCCCTCCCACTTTGCAGACATTGCAAGGGCACCTGGGTAGGGGATAAAACAACTCGGAATTGAGAACCACCGCTCAAGTTACTCTTGACATCACTCAGGTGACACGTGGGAAGTGCGTGGAAGAGTACATGACACAGGTAAGTGCTCAGTAAGCCTCCCCCGCCTGGGTTTATGAGGAGCTCCCTGAGAAGTGCACACTTGTGGCTGAGGCTTCACACACCTATTTATTTACCTGTGTCATCACTGTTCTTTTTGTATCTTAGGTTCTGGAAGTGCTGTGGTTTACAAAGTCTTTTTTTCTCTTTTCCTTTCTTTTTTTTTTTTTTTTAAGAGAGCTGCCTGTCTCTGTAGGTCCAAGTAGCAGAAATAAAACTCAGAAGTACTGGCATTTACGAGTGGCTTTTGAAACTGGAGAATGTCACAGAAATGTAAATCATACTCTTCCATGAGCCCAAGATTGTGTCTTTTTCTAAAGGCTTTTGAAACCATTGGCCACTGACCAAGGGTTCTAGCGGTGCCCAAACTGAATTCTGGCTGTTGCTGCTTGTGGAAGAGCTGGGCTGCTGAGACGCCAGGCTGGTATTCACTGGTGTTTGGCTTCTTTCTGGCGGCTGCATGGCAGGCAGCTATCCTGTGAACAGGAAGTTCCAGGCAGACAAGCTGAGGAACAGGGTGAGCTGGTGTCCAGCCCTTCCTGTCGCGGGAGGGACTGGAACGGGGGGTGGGGGTGGGGTGGAGCCATGTTGCAGGAACGTGCTGCTTGTTACCAGACCAGGGGAACCCAGGAGTCCTTACATCCCACCTCTCTGCCACAAACACTAGCAGCTGGCTCCCCCGAACCCCGTGTTCTCTAGACAAAAGGGCTGCGGGTAGTCTCAAGTCACCCTGGTGTCAGACTTCCCTGCCACCAGCAGCGACAGAAAACACCAGGATGTAACACTGGGACCCATTCCCCGGTCTTCTCTCGGGGTCCTCAGGGTTCTTGTCTCAAGAGGATGCTAGGGTACCTGCCACACTGCCCGCGCTGGGGAACTAGTGGCACAATTCTTCCTAACGCTGCCATGTGGTCACCGAGATGAGGCCTGGCGCTGTTCCTCCTTTTATTACCCGGCCGTGTGCCGATGGTCACGCCCACTGCCCCTCGCTACAACCACGCCCACACTGTGCTGGGGTTGCAGTCACTCCCGCGCCGCACGGCTCGGGCTGCGGCCAGCCGGCACGGACGTTCTTCTCACAGCTGCCTTCAGCCGAGTGGCTGCCACCAAGTTCCTGAGAAATGACTCACAGGAGACTGCTAACTCGGGGAAGTCTGCTGCCTGCTTTGGATGTCGCAAGGCTGATGCGCTAAGAGGCCAGCAGATCGTACCTGGACTCGAGAGCCCTCCCAAGTGCACATCTCGTGGGCTCGCGAGCTCGCTCCGCGCGACTGTCAGGGACTGGCTGCCTGCTGGCTCGCTCCGAGGAGAAATCAGAGCGGCGCGGAGGATCCTGGCAGGTTGACGCCTCAGCGGGACATTTTTTGGGGGGGAGAGCGGGTTGGGCCCCCCGTTTGTCCTGTGCCGTCCAATAAAACCTCGGCTTCCCTTCTGTCCCTCTGTCCCTGGAATCCCTCACCAGAGCAAGCTGGACTGGTGCCAACTTAGCCCTGAGAACCGTGCCACGCCCCCTGGACACCCTCAGTAAGCATTTGGACGGCCTGACTCCGAGAACACGGAATCTCCAAGGTCACAGCCTTGGTCTGCGTCATTCTTGTTTACAGGATAAAAATTGTTGGTCTGGAAATGTTCTTGTTTCTTCTCTCTCACCCCACCAGAAACAGCCTTGTACACAGTACTGTAAGTGACTGCCCTTCTCCTCCCACTGGCCAAAGAGGAGGGATTCCTTTAGGCTAGTGAGAGAGTAGGTTGATCTGTATAATAAAGAGATGCGAGAGGGGTGTATGTGTGAGTCCTTAAACTTCAAGTATGTCAGGACTGCCTGGAGATTCATTGAAATGCAGGTTAATTTTTGGTGCCTGGGGTCCTCAGACCACCTTTTGCACAACAAGGATATAAAGGACTGGGTGTCAGGGAGGTTTGCATACATAGATCAATTCTTTGGAGCAGCTTCAGCCTGGGAGAAAAATGGATAGAAGGGAAAAGAGGTTATTTTGATATGTGTTGTCACAGCCTTAGTATTTGGCTGCCGTCATTCCAAGAAATGCACGGATCTATCTTCCTTGTTTGTCATCTGCCCAGACTCAAGCCCCTCTTCTGCTAATTGCTCTCCAATACTCTCTGGTGGAATGTGAGCCAAGCAAGCGAGTCCTTCCTCCCCAGCATGTGACCACCGCAAGGCCAGCGGGAGCTCCCTCCCTGAAATCTGAATCATGAACTCGGGCGCAAATCCAAGAGCAGTTGGAGTGTTCTCATTCCAGCCACAGCAGCTGAGTGAGACTGCTGAGCATTTCTGCTGCCAGGAACCTTCCGGGGATGCTGGGCACCCAGCGGCTCCCAGCCTGACTCTAGCCTTCCCTTTGCTCTAGGGAGCTCTCCAGCATCCTTCCAAGAATCCCCGTTCTGCCTAAATCAGCCAGTCAGTTTCTGTATCACATCCCTGTGACAACAGTCAGTGTAGCATTTTGAACTATTTTGAAATAATATTTCCTTTCCAGACCCCGTATGTGTACATGTGTTAATTATCACACCGCTTCACTCTGACTCTGATCTCATGGGTGCTGACCTCGTATCATTTGCATTTGGAGTCCCTGCCCAGGACTGTGCCAGAGAGAAAGACCTAGGTGCTCAATTAATGGCCGTAGAATGAGCAGTCAGCATGTACACTGTCTCCAGCATCTGTCAGCTGCCTCTGCCTAGGGACACATTCAATGGTCTTTAAGTACTAAAATAGCAACAGCTTATAGGCAAGTGTAGGCAAGCTCATAGTAGCAACTGGCTAATACACTTTGACCTTGTTCTCTGCTTTCCTCTCTCCCTACACTTTTTAAAAGCAAAATGTGGAGGTCAGAATGGAGCACCATGTTTGTCTCATGGGTATGTTCTAGTTTGATTACAATATTTCCACTTAGCTGGGCATAATGGCATATGCTTGCAGTCCCAGCTACTTGGGATACATGAGGATTGCTTGAAGCCCATAAATAAATAAATAAACAAACAAATAAATATATAAATAAAGAAATACCCACACAAGTATTGGGGCCTTCGCAGCTGAAGCACTTCTCCCTAAGGAAAAGCAAACCGTGTCTTCTATAAAGGTGAATGCTCCAAACCATGACTGACAAGATCTCAGTTCAAATCAACCCTCACTGCTTGATGAACTAGCTAGCCTTGGGCACGTTACTTAACTTCGTAGAGTCTTGGTTTTCTCATCTGTAAAATGGACATGATAATACTATCTCCCTTAGAGGGCTTCTGTGTGGATTCACTAAGACAATGCAAATAAATGGCTAACATTCTACCAATGCACATTATAAAGTACATGGAACATTTTGAGCACCTGACAAGTGTAAGCTATTAAAATTCATTTTCTACTCAGGCTTCCCACTCTGAACCAGATTTTCAGAAAGCATGTGATCTAATTATGATAAAAAATATATATACACGGGGAAAGACAAGATGGAAAACATACTACAATCTTTAATGTTTGTCTATGGGTGTGACATTATGTATAATTTTCATTTTCTTCTTTCAGCTCTCTTTGCTTTCTAGTTTATGTGACAATGAGATGTATATTACTTTCATGACTAGAAGATAAGCCCTGACAAGTGCTATCTCTGATAGAGATGAAAAACTGCAAGTTAATTTTGTAGGAACTGGATTTTTAAAAAATCCCAGTTTGGTGGAGAAATCAGTGTTTTCTGGTCAAGAGCTAGTTGGGAGGGAAATGACATCAATTTCGGTTCACACTGGCTCGAGTGACAAATCATAATGCAAAATGAAAGCACGCTGAGAGTGGGGTGGGGACTGAACACATTCTGGGTTTTGCCTGGTGAATCATCAAGCTAGAAATGACCTCAGGAGGGCATGTGACCTGCCCCTCTCCACACCTCTGGAAGCTTGCCCTGCTACTTTTCAGGACCCATGAGCAATGATCCTATTTTAAGCTATCTAGGAACTAAATCTACACGCATTTCTTTCCTCCTGAGCATCAGGCAGGCTTGGCTTAGCTTTTGCAGGTGCTATCAACTTGGAATCTCCAACCTAGTTTTTCTTTTTGCCTGCAAGAGGCCTGTCCCAGATCTCTCCCACTTTACCTTGGGTCCCTGGACAAAACTGAATAAACTGAATGCCCCTGGAAGTCAGTTTTGTCAACTGCAAAATAGAGCTGGGAAAGTTTGGAAGAGGTAATGCAGAGCTGGAAGCTAAAAGGGGGTGATCCAGCATCACAGCCCATGCACTTAACCCTGCCCTTACCACCCCAGTGGTAAAAGCAAGACAGACAAAGGCAGTTTGTCTACAAAAATCAGCAGGAATGTGGAGTTAGGGGTGGTGAGCCTGTGAAAAAGGAGCAAGGAATGTGGAAATGGGAAGTAGGATGGACTGAGAGGAGGGTACCCAGAGAAAAAGGGAGGGAGCTCAAGAGAAGCGGGATCAGCCAGGGCAGCTGGAACGAAAGAGATACACTAGTTAGAGCCACAAAGCAAGGAACTGGAACCAGGATGCTACGTTTTGTTTTAATTTATCTGCTCTGCAGGATTTTGATAGTCCTCCCCTCATCCACAGAATCTCTCAGGAACACACCTCATGCTCATGTGCTTTGGCACATGGAGAATATGAGATGGTCAGGATAGCAGAGAAGGGGAGGAGACAGCATCCTCAGGAGGACAGGATGATGGCTGAGGGCTGATGACAGTAGTCACCAAGGTTGTAGCTCCTGCTGGCCACAAGAAGGTGTGCGTTTCCGGAAACCTGTGGAGTTTTTGAAGAACATGTGTCAATGCGCTGTAGTAGGAGCCAACACCATTTTCTCTGCTTGTTAAAGGACAAGATGGTTAGTGAACTTGGTAGAACTTGGGCTTCCCCAGGGGGAGGTGTTAAGATGAGGGATATCAGCAATGTTAATAAGAGTCTTAGCAAAGAGTTCAGTGTTAGTATTCAGATTGCTGTTGGTGTCTGTGTAGTCCATTTGTGCAGCTGTAACAACATACCACAAATTGAATAGTTTATAGAAGCAATAGCAATGTATCTCTCATACTTCTCAAGTCTGGAAAGTCTGACATCAAGGTGCTGGTAAGGACTTGGTCTCTGCTTCCAAGATGGCACCCTGAATTCTGGACTTTCACTAGGCAGAGGCAACAGAAAGGTAAAGAAGGGCCACACCCCCTCCACAATGCCCTTTTATAATGGCATTCATAACAGAGTTTTCTTGACCTAAGAACTTTTCAAAACCCCCCAGCATGGTTGCATTGGGGGTTAAGTTTCCAGCACATGAACTTTAGGGGTCACTTTCAGACCGTAGCAGTATCCATACTCTTTCCCTCCAGCAGGTGCTAGATTAGCTCCCACATCAGTTCTCCCAGGGCCAAATCAATGAACCACTTTTCAGGCCCCGCCTCTCGCATGTTGATGAGAATGGCAAGTGGTATCAGATTAAAAGCCCTCCTGGGGCAGGGAGACACACTTATTTCTCTCTTATCCATGTGCCAGGCCACTTCATCATGGAAGGAAATTAAATTGGCTTAGAATGAATTGCTCTTCCCAAAGCCATGCGGGTCCCTAAGCCTTTCGAGACGGCTGCAAAGCTGAAGGGTTGATTATTGTTGCATAACAGATTGTTCCCATACTGAGTAGCTGCACAGTTTCTGTAGGTCAGGAAACAGGAAGTGGCTGAACTTGGGGTCTGCGGTGTGGAATTGCTCCCGAGGTTAGAGTCAGGATGTCACCTCGGGCTGCAGTCATCCGAAGGTTTGGAGTTGGAGGATTTGTTCCAAGGTGCCTCATGCACGTGGCTCGCAAATTAGCAGCAGGTTTCCGTTCCTGGCTCCAATGAACTCCCTTAAGGCCACTTGAGTGTTCTCATAACATGGCAGCCACCTTCTCCCAGAATGAGTGAAGCAAGAGGCAGAGTCGTGTCTAAGATGGCCCCATCCAAGAAGTCACATGCTGTCATTTCTGTGATATTCTACTGTAAAGCAGGTCAGCCCTACTCATTAGAGGAGAGGGCTTCCCAAGGGTATGAATATCCTTGGAGATAAGCACCATTTGAGGGCATCTGAAGATGACCATCTCCTGTAGGTAAATCACTTATAAGGATCCTCCCGTTTGACGTTTGTGAACCAATTTTATCTCCCAGGAGCTGTTGTTGCTCCATGCTGTGGATAAGAAAATGAAGGCTCAGAGAAGTGATCAGCTAATGTGGCAAAGTTAGAAAGTTCTGCAGGGCTGGAAATAGAACCCAGTGTTGTGGTTCTTAACCTGGTGGTGTTTCCATCGTACCTCACAGTTGTCATCAATCCTCAAGGACATCCCTTGCCGCCTTGTCTTCCAGAGACAATGTGAATTAGAAACTGCTATAGTAGAACAAAGGAAATCTTATTTATTATCTTAAAATTTTTTATTATACAGGTGACCTATGCTCACTATGGAAAAGGTGCAAAATAGAATTAAGGAGAGAAAAGATAAAATGAAAGAAAGGAAACATTCCCTGCTAATTCTACCACCCAGATCTACCACTGTTAATATCTCAGTGCCTTCCCCTAAAAACAAAGGAAATGGATTTAAAACACATTATGTTGACAGCATCTCCAGGGCAAGCTCTGAAGGAAACGCCATCCACTCAACTTC